GTATGATTGGCCAAGGAGACAAAGAGTGTCTCCTTCCACCAGGCTGTCCAAGCTTTTTGGCAGGATCAGAGAGATCTATCAAGCCTTCCAGATCACTTCAAGACTCACCAACTTGAGGCCAAGCATGGTCTGGGACACCTCAAGTCCACACAAGAGATTTCCATGCCTGGAGGCTAAGGCTGCTGAAACAAAGTACTTCATGCCCTGTCTTGAAGCTGTGCTCCAGGAAACTTTGCATGCAGAGACTGAGATTCACAAGACCGTGTTGCGGTGCATTGGTGCTTTCAATGAAGCCATTCTGCATTTTGACCAAATTGGTGCCTTCTTGACAAAAGAAGAGTACAATGTTGGCATGAACCTTGTCAAAAGGTTCTTCTCTTTGTATGCAGGTCTGCACCATTGGGCTGAGTCCCAAGACAGGAAACTTTTCCATGTGACTTTTAAATTTCATGCCTGCCTACACATGTTCATGGGCACCAAATACATGAACTATCGATTTCACTCCAATTTCAGGGGTGAAGACTATGTGGGGAGAACCTCCAACCTTTGTCATTCTGTCTCCTTTGGAGTGAAGGCTAGCAGGCTCCCCATCAAGCTCATGGAAAAGTACAGAATACTTTTCCACCTCCAAATGACAAAGCCTGGCTTCAGCCACATGCTTGAGGAGGATGATCCTTGACTAAAGGACCCTATATCTTCAGCCACATGCTTGATCCTTGACAAAAGGATCAAGCACATGCTTGAGGAGATTCTTGACAAAAGAATTCTTCACCAAATTTGTCAGCCCTAGACAATAGGGTTGAAGTAGTGTTTCAAGCCCCAAAGATGGGCAGGAGCAGTCCAATCTGGAAGTGAAAAAGCATGGTTTGCTCGCCTTTTCAGTTTTGATTTCTGCAGTCTAAAACATACAAAATGATATTGATTTTGGAGCGTTTTTTTGATTTTGATTTCCCATGGCTCCAAATCAATCAAAACTCTTTGATTTAAAATCAATATCAATAGATTCTGTAGAGGATTGATTTAAATCAATATCCGATGCTCAGGGACCGTCTCATCCAGCCAAACTTGTCAGTCTCTTCCTTCAGGCGCCATCTCCAGTCATAGACCTTCTTGGTCGTCAGGAACCTGTAGCCCTCAAAGTTGCCACTCTTGGGAATGAGGACTCCCATCTCCTTGAGCCTTGTGATCTCTCGCTCATCTGCCTCCAGCTCCAACTGCGCCAACATCTCTTCAAAGACATCTGGAGGTCCAGCTTCTTCAGATTCCTGCTCGAGGTCAATCTCATTGAACTCGCCCCAGTCGTTGAGGTCCACCAAAGGGTATTCGTCCACCTCGACGAACTCCTGCTCATCCAAAGCCACTTCTTGGATGCCACCTGCAAATGAAGGTGCTGCTGCTAAGCTGCTTGCCGTTGGTGAAGACGATGGGGAGGTTCTTGGGGGAATTGCAAATTCCACCTTTGCTTTCTTGACCGGCTCTGTTCGTGCACTCTTCGTGGGAGGTTCTTCTCCAGGAAGTTCACCATGAGGTCGAAGTTCTCCTTGAGGATGTTGAAGTCCACCATGTTGTTGAGGAACTTGAGGATGTAGTCCGCCTTGAGGTTCATCACGAACTCCTCCTGCATGTTGCGGGTCTTGCTCTGCATCCTTCATGACCAAATCATCCGGAGGTTC